TGCTAGTTGGTGTCGCTTAGTTTCCAGCATAATTGCTAGCATTCATTTCCATGCTTAAAAGAGGGAGAATGTTCTAGAAATGGTCAAGAATGACAAGTTCAGATGTTGGATTCAGTAACTTTTCAGGTTTGAATGCAACTTAAGCTCCCGCATTCTCTTGCAATGTCATTTTAACATATTAAAATAATGTTTCTGAGCTCATATTAAGCTAAAATTTTCATTACAGCAATTTCTGAATGCAAAAATGTGGTTAAATCTGTAATTCTAAAGTTATGAAATTCAATTAAAGTTATTTGTATAGCTCTTTTCACAATTACTACTGTTCCAGAGCAGTTTTATAAAGTGGCATTCAGTGGCTTTTCAGTTGTGAATGCAACTTAAAGGGGTAGTTCACGCAAAAACTGAACATTTTCTCACTGTTTACTCACTCAAGTGAATCTAAACCCTCAACAAAAAATAAGGTCAAGAATCTTGGTGTGACTCTGGAGTCAGATCTGAGTTTCAATAGTCATGTCAAAGCAGTAAGTTAATCAGCATACTATTATCTCAAAAACATTGCAAGACTCAGATGCTTTGTTTCCAGTGAAGACTTAGGGTGCTTTCACACCTGTGAATCGATTCAGTTGTTCCGAAACAGAGATTACAATTGTTACATTGTTGCTCTTTGCTCTTGGAGCGGTTTGCTTTCACACTGCAAAGTTTCTAATTGCACCAAAAGAGCTAAAACAAGTCACGTGCGAGTAAACTCTCCTCACATTGGTCAGAATGTCAGGGTTTAATTTGCAGCGTCCCGCTCAGCTGTCAGGAGAGGTGGTGGTTTGGTGGTGATTGACAGGGTGCGCGCGCGACGTGTCTGAGGAGAGACGCGGTGGGGAGGGGTGAGAAGGGTGCGCAACGATGCCTATTTGAGGACCGAGAGAGATACGCGAGATTACCGGGAGATCATCACTCGTTTGCGGGCATCCGGAGACTCGCGAAACTTCCCGACATACTCATAATTCTCTCTTCATCTAGCCGTATGCCTATTACATATCCATAAAACACTGTGATATAACCGCGCTCGGATCGGATCACTTTCTCACTGCAATCGAACCGCTCCAGGGTTCGTTTTAATCGAGCCATTCAAGCGATCTCGGAGCGATTACTTTGGCGCAGAACAGAGCGCGATTGCCCAGTTCACATATGCCAAACGAACCGCGCTAACTGGGCAAACGAGATACGTTCCGAAACAAAAGTGTAGGTGTGAAAGCACCCTTAGAGAAACTTGTTCATGCTTTTATCAGCAGCAGGGTGGATTACCTTCCCAAAAAGACAGTCACAGTTGCAGCTCATCCAGAATGCTGCGGCCAGGATTCTGACCAGAAGCAGGAAATCAGAGCACATCACACCTGTCCTCAGGTCTCTACACTGGCTCCCAGTTACATTCAGAATAGAGTTTAAAGTATTATTACTGGTCTATAAATCACTAAATGGCCTCAATACATTACAGATATGCTCACTGAATATAAACTCAGATCACTCAGATCTTTAAAATCAAATAAACTAAAAACTCCAAGAGTTCAGTCAAAGCAGGGTGAATCCGCCTTCAGCTACTAACAGCGCCCCCTGCTGCTGCAATCAGAATCCAGAAATGATCAGATGTGCTCCAACATCAGGCACATTCAAATCAAGACTGGAAACACATCTGTTTAGCTGTGCCTTTACTGAATGACACTGCTACGTCCGACAGATCGCATGTCTTTCGTTTCTTAATTCTTTTATAACCTGTTTTAACACATTTTAATCTTAATCATTTTTATTAATTGTTTTTATTTTTCTTGTTTCTTTTATTTCTGTTTATGTAAATCACTTTGAATTGCCACTGTGTATGAAATGCGCTTTATAAATTTGTCTTGCCTTTGTATTCATTTAAAGGGATAGTTCACCCAAAACTGAAAATTCTGTCATCATTTATTCTGCCTTCACTTGTTCCAAACCTTTGAGTTTTTTTTCTTCTGTCGAACACAAAAGAAGATACTTTAAAAAATGCTGAAAACCTGTAACCATTGACTTCCATACTATTTGTTTTTCCTACTATGGAAGTCAATGGTTACAGGTTTTCAGCATTCTTCAAATGATCTTCTTCAAAAGGTTTGGAACAAGTGAAGGATGAGTAAATGATGACGGAATCGTTTCCCCTTTAAATAAATAAAAACTGTTTGGATTTGAGGTAAATCAAGACACACCGCCTGTTGTGCACATACTGGAGTATTCCTTCAAGCCACGTTAGAAACACAGTAAAACACTGCTGCACGTAACAAATGTCCTGACCGCAGCATGCAGAGAGCGATCCGTCAAAGATTTAGCCATTAGCCACTGGTATAATGGTTGGTAAACTGGTGTGCAGCTGCCGAAAGCCGCAGAGCACCTGCTGCATGAGCTAATGTCCGTCATCTGACCACAGGCCACTCGCTCAGTCATCACACGCATCTGCTGAACACATCACTCACTAAAAACCCAATGGCGAATATTTCAGGCCTTCTAGTTCTGTCCAATATGATGATTCTTTTTGGGGGACAACTTAATTTCGTTCAATCCCCTTAAATTTGTTAAAACTAATAAGTTACTTAGTAAGTTACTAATAAGTAACTTAATTCCTGCATGTTGTCCAAACGAACACACATTGATTAAGTTAACTTAACAGATTTAAGTCAATTGAACATAAAACAATTAGGTTGTCCAACAAAAATCTCAAGAAGTGTGTTGTTTCAGCTTATTGCAACACAAAATGTGATACTGATTGTGACCTATATTGTTATCAGGATGCATAACAATACTTATGCAATCAGATTGGGCGGACGCATGATGTTCCTGCTGCACGTCTCGGATGTTCCAGCAGGTTAATGTTAATGGTAATACGCTGTGGCAGTGGGTTCAGTCTGTGCTCCACTTGCTCTTCAATCCCGTTAGCATGGCCTCTCATCATCGCCCGAATCAGCCTTGATACATGCTCATTTCATTAGCGAGCACAATGGAAAGTATTACTTAGCCAGGGCCAAAGAGAAGCTCACATCCATCAAAGGGCTTTTTATATTAGATTATATCTGTCCTGTTGGATCACCCGATCGTACTTTGGTAATTATAGATCGGTGGGACATTTGGTTGGGCTGAAAATGCTTGGGAAAACATCTTCGGTTGGCAGATTTCATGTTTGTTTAGCATGGTTTAGTTAGTTAGATGCACTGTGATATATCAGAATAGATCTTGTGATGAAGTGTGTTCGGGTCACATCGCCATGAGGAGAACGGGAAATTAGATTAGAAGAAGATTTTGCATGCATGAAGAAAGTGATTTATTATCTTTTTTTTTTTACGCTGTGAGGGTTTTGATTATTTATTGAACGTTTTAGATTTGGAACTATATACAACAAAGCCCAAGATCCACCCAATAGAAAGGTAAATGACAATAAACACAGTAATAGGTGCATGGTGACATTTTTAATAAAAATTGGTGTTTAAATGTCAGCTATTAACCTAAAAAACTTGTATTCAAATGTATAATGAACTCCTTTTCATAATTATCCCCGCTCATGAAGATACTTGAATATGGTTTTCAGTTACATTGACTTTTTTTCCTTAAAACAATGCATTTTAGGCCTCCAAAATGTTTTTTTTTTTAAAAATGAACAGCGAAAATGAAGTTTTTAGTTGAAAAATGGTGTAAAATATGTCTAATAAAAAACTTTAATTCGATTGTTTTAGTAGATAAGCATAAATTAGAAGTTCTAAAACAAACACTGCTGCACAAAATTAACTAAAATTAGTCATTATAATAAAATTATATATTTATATAATTAAAGTCTTTTTTTGTATTGTGGCAATATGTTAATGACAATTAATTTAACACTTTTTCCTTTACTTCTCATTGCCATATTGTGACAATCTTTGTGACAATATATATATATTACACAATGCAAAAGCTTTGATTAGATTACACAAAAAATAGAATTTTGTTGCTAGTTCAAAATAGTTATTTAAAATTAAGATTCTTGAGATTTTTTTGCGACAAATTAATTGTTTTATGTTCAAAAAACAATTTGTACTTAAATTCGTTTCATTAACTTAATCGATTTGTGTAGGTACAGCAAGAATAAATTGTGTGGAACCTTGCATTTTTTTATGTATATTGTATTTATTATGTTTAATTATTTCTTTTATATGATGAAATATGACCAATATCACATATTTGGCATGGATGAGGAAAGCTCTTTTATCTGCATTTTTATAGTTTGTGTTTTTTGTGTTGTGATAAATGAATGAATAATGTTGTTTACATGTCAGCGATGTACCAAAAACTTAGTATTCAAATGTGAAATGAACATGTAAACGATGATTAATTCATCCCAGATACTTGAATACTGTATCAGAAATGTGTACATTGAAATATTTTAGCAAAACTTCACATTTCATGCCCCCAAAATGTAGTATTTTTGTAAATATTAATCACTTTAAGCATAAAGTTTTAGGTCTTTAGTAAACAACTGTGTAAAATATGTCAGGTAAAATACTGCAGTTCTATGATATATATTCAAATATGCTTAAATTAGAAGATATAACACATATACTGATGTTTTGCAATATGGTAATGAGAATGAGTAGGAAAGGAAATGTGTTTAATTACATTTTCATAAAAATATTGCCACGAAGTCGTCGCCAGTGGTGTAGTGGTTAGTGCCTCGACACATGCACTCTGAGCACATGAGTTCAATTCCCGCCTCGCGGTCTTATGCCGATCCTTCCCCTCTCTCTGCTCCCCATGCTTTCCAGTCATTAATCTCTACTGTCCTATACATTAAAGGTGAAAAACATAAAAAAAATTAACCTAAAAGCAGGCTTATTTTAATATTAATATATTAATACTAATAATTATTAATAATATTATATTTGTATTAATTATTATTATATTATTCTTGACTGGTTTCCATCTACGAAAGTGTTCAAAGAAAAACAACCAAAACACAATTTCCTTCTCAACGATGGAGAAATCTTTTACTTTGTTCATACCGTTCGGCAGAGTGTGCGTCACACAATACAGCACATGTACAAAACACCATCTCATATCATAGCTTCAGCAAAATACTCAATAATCGCAGTTAAGGACAACTCGTAAGGTGCCTAATACACACTCACACGCACACACAAACCAACAATCAGGAATGTTAACAGCCACTCTACAGATCGTTTCTATTCATACAGTTAATATTATTACGATCATTATTATTATTAATATAATATAAAACAATCTACACAAAAAACATGGAGCCAAATATGTACAGACCGCAGGAGTATTTACAACTTTCAGTGACGCATCTACATTGGAATGAGTATAAATATATATGTATATTTAAATGAGTTTGTTTTCTGAAGGTCGATGACATCACAATCCCGCCATCTGTGAGAGCTGCACCTTAAACTGTTGTGCCAAATGTGAGAGGTCTGTGACCCGATCTACCATTTCTTGTACCGCCGCCGTGTTGGGATAGTGAAGAGCCGCGATTTTAGTGGAGCTAACAACAGTTTTTAGCATCTCGCATAGCATGTTGCTTAAATTCATGACTCTGTTGGCCACTTCCGCCACTGTGGCCTGTCTGGAAAGCGTGTCACCTATAAAAACAAGCTTGTGAGCGCTGAGGATCACGAATTTTCCATGCGCGACGAATATTCGCGGAGGTTGTCCGCTCTTCACGCAGCCGAAAAAAGCATCTACGGCGTTGAGCAGAGTCACAAAGTGCTGTTCGCATTGGTCCGCGTAGAAGCCCAGCAGCTGGCGGTCCCGCGAACACAACGGAGCTCCGCCTCCCATAGAGAAATTAGAGGAGGAGTCTGAGGAGGAGGAGCCTGTTGAGTTTTGGTGGGAAATCCACTTGGTGATGTCGTTCTCGACTGGTTTGATCACGTCCTGCTCCAGCTGTTTGAACTGGTTCAGCTGTAAAGTGAAGCAAAGACATCTAAATCAGAACTGTTTTGATTATCATAACGATAATTAACTAAACAGAAAACTAACGTTAGCGGACAAATGTGGAGTTGTGAGGCTTGCTGACTTTTCCGTCACTCTTTGTTTACTTTCGTGTGTTGGGCAAGTGAGTTTCCATCTCGTTAATTCTGACCAATCAAAATGCAGTTCATGAAATTTCTCTAGCCAATGACTGATGTGGATATTATCACCTGACTGTTTTTTGCACCTGACTGTTTTTTGCTTTGTTTCGACTGCTTTTGTTCAGAGCCGTTCGTTTCTCTTAACTCTTATGCTGCGTTCACACCAGAAGCGGAACGCGCGTCAAGTGCGAGTGATTTACATGTTAAGTCAATACAAACGCGCGAATAGACATCCTGCAGTGCGATATGCGCGAATGGTGCGGCGCGAATGATGCAAATTGCACGAATGGCGTGGGGCGAATTGAGCGTTTTGCGAATTTGACGCGCTTAACAAGCGTTTTCTGCGAATCTCTCGAATTCGAAAATCTGAACTTCAGCATACATTCGCGCCGCGTTACCAATCAGAAGCTTGCTATTGTCGGGGGCGTGATTGTGATGTAGAACCTGTTGTTGGTTTTCCGAGGGAAATCCTCCAGCCTTCACCGACAACAGTTCATCAAACTCGGCTTGGCTCAGTCAGAAGCACCGCTGAAAGCCTCCGTCTTCCAGGTTCAGTTTCTGGAGGAGTTTATGAGCTCACAGAGCTGGATGCACCTCTGAAAGGATGTAGTGGACTCAGACACGACCCTAAATGTATCGACGCTGTTTTTCAGTCTTCATAAAGCACATAAACACTGTTATTTTCTTCATAAAATCCATGTTAGCCATTTAGCTATGAAGCTAGAGTCTTCGGGCAGACAGAAGCCCTGCCCATCACGCGAATCCGCATGTGTTTTGAATTGAATTTGACACGCGAATGAAGCGGGGTTTTGACGCACGAATGAAGCGAGTAAACACAAATGTTCACGCGGGAATAGCGCAATTTATCCGCGCGTTCCGCATCTGGTGTGAACACAGCATTAATCATGAGCTACTTCTCTGGTGACCGACAAAAAAAATCTGAAGATGTCTAATGCATACCTGATCTTGTCCGAGTTGGACTTTGCCCTGTTTGGTGATGTTCTCCTTCTCCAACAGTTTCTTCTGCTGTCGTTCGAATTCATCTTTCCCCTGCAAAACAACAGAGTCAGTCAGCAAGTCGCAACAAACAGTTTCAGAGCAGCTTTACAGCAACTAGTGTCCTAAAAGCTCCAGCGAACATCCAAAGGACACTGTGGTATTAAACTAATCCCTTTTTAATTCAAATGATCAAGTCTGTCTTCATTTGGCTTGTGAGCTCAGTCTGAATAAGCAGTAGTCTCTTTTTATTTTCTTCAAAATCCCATTCAGACTCTTGCATAAAGTATTCAGTGGTGAATAACCTCTTTACGTCTTTTGCTAGAGATTCCCTAAAAGTAAAAGCTCACTGGGATTCATTTGAATCCCAAAGGCATGTCACTTTGAGATGAAATGAGGGATCTCATTCTTAATCTCTGCATTAGGGATTACCAGTGAACGACGATTGAGGGAAGAGCACAAACTATTTCCTAAAAACTTGAACCGATGGCTTGATTATGCAAGTCTGTATATCGTCTTTATTTTGCATTAATTTATCATTACTGGTGGTTCCAAATTGTCCAAAGTATCTATGCTTTGCTTTTATGTATATTGTATTTCATGCAGTGTCATGTAGTTATGCAAGTCTCCAAAGTTTTAAGTGCATGACAACAATAAGTCAATTCTAAAGTGCTCAGAGCGATTCCAGTTTGACTTCTGAAAGTGATCTTTGTAGATTTAAAACAAGTTTACTTAATGGTTTTGATGCTATGGTTCTGTCCTAGAGCATTGAGTTCTTTAACCCTGAAGCATTTATTATCAGGACAAAACACTTGCACTTTTTTAAAAACATCTGAAAACTCTGGTGTTTTCAATGATGACTAATCCAAATGCCTCTGATTGGCCATTGTGTTCCAAAGCTGAACAGAACGCGTGTGATTGGTTACTATTCTCTAATCTTACCCCTTGGAGACATCCTCTCTGTGATTGTATTTAATCAACTAGTTCTTCTAGTACTCAGGTTGTAGGTGTTATGGTGAAATCTATGTTACCATGTCTACAATCGAACAGATATGGTGTGGTGATGCATTGAAATATATATTATGAGAAAATTCAAGTGTTTTTTGACCTTGTATGTGTTTATGGAAGTTATATGCTTTAATGTGATTTTTATTTGGACGTAGCCATAATCATCAAGGTTTTAACGCAGATATGGTAATGACATTGTATGGTAATGCATTGAAATCAATACACCAATCACACAGGACCAATCAGTGCAGAGACTTGTGGACTTGTGGCGTTCTACAAACGAATCCAGTACTTTTTGCCCTTGAATTTGTTTATGTAAGTCAGGAATGTCCAAACTTGTTCCTGGAGGACCGGCGTCCTGCATATTTTAGTTCCAACCTTATTAAACACACCTGAACCAGCTATTCAAGCTCTTTCTGGGTATACTAGAAACTTCCAGGCAGGTGTCTTGAAGGAGGTTAGAGCTAAACCATGCAGGACACTGGCCCTCCAGGACCAAGTTCTGACACCCCTGATGTAAGTTGTATGCTTTTAAAGTGATTTCTATCTGGAGATGGATGTAGTTATAATCATCAATCCAGCTTTTAACGCAGGTTTGGTAATGACATGGTATGTAATGCACTGAAATCAACAGACCAATCACACTGGACCAATCAGAGCAGAGTCTTGTGGACTTGTGGTGTTCTACAAACGAATCATTTATGTGATTTATGAGGAAAGGAAAGTACTTTTTGACCTTGGATTTGTTTATGCAAGTCAGGGATGTCCAAACTTGGTCCCGGAGGGCCGGTGTCCTGCCTATTTTAGTTCCAACCCCAATTAAACACACCTGAAACGGCTAATCAAGCTCTTTCTGGGTAAACTAGAATCTTGAAGGAAGTTGGAGCTAAACTATGCAGGACGCCGGCCTTCCAGGACTGAGTTTGGACACCACTGATGTAGGTTATATGCTTTTAAAGTGATTTCTACCTGGAGATGAACATAATCATAATCATCAATCCAGCTTTTAACACAGATAAGGTACTAACATAGTATGGTAATGCATTAAAATCAACAGACCAATTACACTCGACCAATCAGAGCAGAGACTTGTGGACTTGTGGTGTTCTACAAACGAATCATTTATGTGATTTTTTAGGAAATTAAAGTACTTTTTGACCTTGGATGTGTTTATATAAGTCAGGGATGTCCAAACTTCGTCCTGGAGGACCGGTGTCCTCCATATTTTAGTTCCAACCCCAATTAAACACACCTGAACAAGCTAATCAAGCTCTTTCTAGGTATACTAGAAACTTCAGGCAGGTGTGTTGAAGGAAGTTGGAGCTAAACAATGCAGGACGCCAGCCCTCAAGGACCGAGTTTGGACACCACTGATGTACGTTATATGCTTTTAAAGTGATTTCTACCTGGAGATGAACGTAGTCATAATCATCCATCCAGCTCTTAACGCACTTCTCGCTGTTCATGTTGGCTTTGTCGTGCGATACAGGGAACGGTTTGCTCTGGCTTCTGAAGCCGTTGTCCTCTGTTGGGTTGCAGGTAAAGGGGTGAACGATGCCTTCGATTGGTGCTCTTCTGAAAAGCAGCTCTGCGCTGCTCCCTATCGTTGAAGCCAGCTGTCTGGCATCGTCAGGTAGCGTCCGCGACACCATTACAAAACGTTCCAGTTCGTCGCTCTTGCTGTGATGCATGCCGCCAGCGGTTAGAATGTTAAGCGCCCAATTGTTGTCCTCTAGAGTCTGATAAATCTGTAGAAGAATCTGATGGGAATCCTCTAAACGTTGCAACTGGCGTCGTAACTTGGCGTGCAGTCCTTGATCGGATAACGCAGTTGCGTTTGCTGAAGCTCCACGGCCAAATATAAGAAAGTCTGACATTGAGAGCTTGACGCGCTCTAGTGAAACGCGAACCTCGTTGGCGTGACGCTCCATGAAGCTGTACGTTCGCCAGTTAGGCGATGCTGTTAGAGTTTGCAGCGCGCCAACTGAAGACTCGAGATTTTGCTGAACGCGGTTCAATCTTTGCACCGCAGAGTCTAGATCCAACGCAAGACGGCTTTCAGCTGGCGATCCAGCAGAGGACGAAGAAGTCGACATGCTGCTGCGAGTGCTTCCCGTGCTGGAAAACGACAGTCGGTTTACACCATCCGTAATGTCACCGACCATTCGAGTGTCTGTCGGTGGGATATCGTAAACGGACTTATTCCTGTCTCTCTCAGAGGATGCATGTCGGTTCTGTGGCATCCCACGTGGAATATCATACAAGTCCTGGGATCCACTTGCAGCAAGTTGGCTAGCTGGGACATCGTAGATGCCGGCGCTGTCGTTTTTGACTTTGCGAGATATCTGCTCAGAGCTGGGTGGGAAGTCGTAGTTGGAGCATGGGGAAGATTTAGAGAGCGACGCTGGTGGGACGTCATATATTCCTTCTTGTTTGTGCTTCGAAGGCTGCGGGAAGTCGTAGTTCCCTTCGTCCTGTGCAGTGTTACTCCGACAAGGAGGCGTTGAGTACACCTGGAGAGTGACAATGAGGTTAAATATGAAGTGAATATATGCTTAAGACTTTTATTGTTGTTACTTTACATAACAACACCTTCCACGACAAGTTAACCCCTTACAGATAAGGGAATTAAAAAACAATTTCTATATATGTATATATAATGTACATCATATTACATTGTGTTACGTTTGTGGTTTAATAAGTTAATTAAACTATAAATGTACATCTCCAAAAATCCTATAATACTTTTCCAGCTCTTCAGAGCTCTGCCAGTTCGTCTTCATTTGTAGGCATACAGTGTTTTACCCATTATAGACACTTGTTTAACTCTCTGAATCCAGTAAGCCACCTTTTGGGGAACTTCTTACATCCAATGTACTGTTATCATTTTCTTTGCAACCAATAATAATATCTCTTTTTTCATTGAACATTTGTTTGGGCAATTTTTCCATAATCACACAACTGGATTAAAGGGATTTTCTATGTCTAATATCTTACCTATTTCTTTTTAACATTGTACCAAAATTCTTTAATATTAGGGTAAAATGTGGGTTTGATCTCCTATTTTACCACATTTTCTCTAACACAGAGCTACAGATGGTCCTTTTGCATATGTATAAATTACAAAAGGAGCTTTTAAGTACCTAATTTTTACTTTCCAATCATGCTTATAAGAATTGAATGAAATATTTTTTTGTACTTGCTGATTTCGATTTGAAATGTTCTACTATTGCACAATTCCATTGGTATTTCATTGGTTTCTCTTCCTATGGTTGGTAATGTTTAGGTTTGTTGCCACTGTAATCTTTGGCTAGCTCAGTTGGGTTTTTCTAACATTTTTAGACCAATTTTCCAGCAGTATGTTTTTACCGTTATACTTTAAGGGCCACATTTACACATTTTCTCAAATAGTACAGCAGATACAGTTAAAGTCAGAATTATTAGCTCTCTTGTGTTATTAGCCCCTCCTGTTTAATTTTTCCCTAAATTCTATTTAACGGAAACAAATTTTTTTCAGCACATTTCTAATCATAATAGTTTTAATAACTCGTTTCTAATAACTGATTTATTTTATCTGTCATGATGACAGTACATACTATTTTACCATACATCTTTCAAGATACCAGTATTCAGTTTTAAATGACATTTAAAGGCTTAACTAGGTTAATTGGGTTGATTAGGCAGGTTAGGGTAATTAGGCAAGTTATAACGATGGTTTGTTCTGTAGACAATCGAAAACAAATATAAGGGGGCAAATAATTTTGACCTTAAAATCCTTTTAAGAAAATTAAAAACTGGTTTCATTCTAGCTGAAATAAAACAAATAAGACTTTCTCCAGAAAAAAAAAAAAATATATATATATTATAGGAAATACTATGAACAATTCCTTGCTCTGTTAAACATTACTTGGGTAATATTTTAAGAAAAAAATATTTTCACAAAATACCTGATAACTTTTACTTTAACTGTATATATCCAAGGCAAGTAAATAAGCAGAAAATAAGTAAGGAATATTATTTATTACACATGTATACAAGCTAAAACTGTAATGTTACTAAAATATACAAAATTAAATGTTAAAAGTGAATTGCTGCTGGCTTTGTTTTTTTGATGGGTTTTATCTACTCAAACTATGTTTTTATTATTAATTTTTGACAAAAATACTAGTTTTTTAATTGAATTAAATTTTTTACATGTTTGCCTTTATTTAAAGGTTGATAATGTATTCTGGGCACCATGAAAATGTTTCTCAAAAATTATCTGTCACACAAAATTATAAAAAATTCTGTCATGTAAAACTATGGTGCTTTAGAGTGCTATAGAGTCCCAATCCTGTCCTCTTTTTTCTTTCCAACTTTATTTTTTGTCAAACCTGTCCTAATAATTGCAAAAAAAAAAAAAAAAAAAAGCAAAAATAAATCATAAAAAAAAAAAAATAGAAAATTAAAATTCTGGCTCTGAATAGCAATAAAAACAATTATAAATCACCAGGCTTAAGCTGCGTGCCAAATCACATACTTATGCACTATTCTACTCTAACTCTAAAAATAATCAGTGCACTTTAATTACCCGGATGCACTTATTCAACCGTTAAAATGAAGTGTGTAATGTTCACTTGGAAGCACACAACGGCTGCAGCTTTGCTCACATAGCAGAAGGAGCGGAGCATTCGGGCACTGATGTTGGATTATTTATTTATTTTAGGTTTCTGAAAGCCAAATTCTCCTAGGAGAGTGATTATAGCCCGATGATGAATGCGGTTATACTCATGGCAGGTATTATTTGGTAGTTTGGTCATTTATTTCACTGATTTGGAGACCTTCAAACGTCATCAGGGAAACGGTTTGAATTTCCGCTTGGTATAAAAACATTAGTGCTCCATTTGGGACGACACTACATACATATACTATGCTGTTGAGTGTGTAAGTGTATAAGTGTATAGTGTGCCATTTGGGCAGCTTTAAAGTTCTTTGTGCATTTTTCGAATTATTTATATGTTCAGTAGTAAATTAACTTGCTTGTGGTTTCAACATGAGCTATCGTATTATCGCAATATTATACCAAAGTTGTAATTTCCAATATTGTGACAACACTAATAAAAACAGAAGTGGGTTCCCGACAGTCTAATAAGTGCAATTCTGCATTTCCATCATCGCATTTTTAGGACATGGAAATTCCTGCCATTCAGAATATGAAGAAAAAAACTCCGACATTGACCTGACAGCGTAATAAGGCGTTCCAGCAGCACACTGGTCAATAAATAAACACGGCGGCCTGTAAGTGATTTCTGTCAAGCGTGGAGTCTATCTTTCACAGCGAGTCCGGCTTTCTGCAAACCCTAATTAAATGCGACTCTAATAACAGGTTTCCATGTTCATCCAGTTTATTTGAAACACACTGGAGGCGCAGCGCTGCCTTTCGCCAGGAGCAGCGGTGAAACATAAGAGGGGCTTCAGCACAATTATTTCTGTTCTGACCTCCTTTAAAGTTAACAGCGCTGCTCTGAGTTTGACTCCAGCGCCGCTGCTGGCAGACTAGGCCTTCATTTGCTAACCAGGGGAAAGTAATAAAAATCAGAGTATTTATTTCTTTGTAAAGCTTCTGGGAAGTAATGGCATTCAGTTACAAGACAAAGAAAAAGGGCAGCGTCGGGGTTATTATAGTTAAATAAAACTAAAACTAAATATATTTGAACTTAATCTTAAATGATGTGAAATGGAATAAACTTTTTATATTTTAACAAGAGAACAATGTCACTTTTTAGTTAAATCGTGCATTAGAATGAAATTTGAATGAAAATGTGATCAATATTTGAATTAAAATATATAATTAATTAAATTTAAATAAATTTAATTAATTATATATACTATTATTATTATATTAATAATAATATTAATTAATGATAATATTAATTAAATTAAATTAAATTTAAAATAATATTATAATAAAATATTGAATAATTAAAAAAATAGTTGCATAATTTTTTTAAGTATTAAATAATGTAATCAAAACTACACAATTTACAAAAATATTTCATATGAATTAAAAATGTAATATTCTTATTCTTAATATTATTAAATGAAATACCACCACTATTATTATTATTATTGCTAATTATTTATTATTATTTTTATTGTTATTATTAATTCTGTGGTCAATGGTAAATTTTACTAATTGTTTTTCAAAGTTTTATATCAAAATTGAATTAAAGATCCATTTGAAAATCAATCTGCAGCACGACCAATGTGAGTCCAGTGACGAGGCATTCGCTGATCATCATGTCATCAAAGTTAATTTTAATAGCTGATAAGTTCATACCCCTTGTGATGCTGGTGGGATGTCGTAGAGTCCTCTTGAAGCAGGAGTATCATAGACGCCCTGAGCTCTGGAAAGGCTCTGCTGTCCAGTTTGCTTGTTTGCAGGAATATCATAGACCTGTGCGGATGTGTCAGTGTAAATACACGTGTGTTTATGACACCTGTATGAATGCAGGAGTTACTAAAGTGACTCTCACCCCTTGTGGACGAACCGGAGGAACATCGTAGAGGTCATGAGACGAGTCTGAAGCTGGGCTGAAAGCGTAGGTTTGCCCTACTCGCACTGGTGTCACCACCTGAAATAAGAGTTAAGCTGTTAGGGGACGTGAGAAACTCTTTTCCTTTGTGAAATCGGTCAGAAAAAGATACAAAATCATTATCAGGACAAAATAGATTTTTTATTTTTTTAAATCATTATTGACAAAAATTATTTATATTAAACATTTTGGCCCAAAACAGACATATGCCAACTTAGCCAAGAGAAATCTGTTCAAATTGATAATTCAAAGTATAGAGTAGTGGTAATCTTTATTATAAACAAATATTATTTATATAAAATTATATTTATATACTTTCAGTGTTATTAAAGTTGATAGAAACCATACAAAACTTACTTTAAACAACAAATGTAGCTTTTTATATTAAAAAATAAACTGGTAACACTTTACAATAAGGTTCATTAGTTAATGCATTTACAAAAATGAACTAATCATGAACAACACTTGTACAGCATTTATTAATCATAATTGAACATTTACTAATGCATTATTAACATTTAAGTCCGTGCCTGTAAACATTAGTTAATGCACCATGAGTTAACATGAACTAACAATGAACAACTGTATTTACATTAACTAACGTTTAATACCATGAATAAATACTGTAGTAAATGTATTATTCATTGTTTGTTCATGTTAGTAAATGCATTAATTAACATTAACTAATGAACCTAATTGTAAAGTGTGACCAAATAATATATGTATATTTACAGCGTCAACAAAATTATTGGCAATTATTAAATTAAATGAAATTAAAATTTCCAGTGATGTTTAACAGACATTTCACAGCATTTTCTATTAGATTTTTTTTCTTCTGGGCAAAGTCTTTTTATTATTTAAATTTGTCTGGAATTCTAAAATATTTTGAAATATGTAAAATTGCTCAGGTCAATTATTAGCCCTTTTAAGATTTTCGATTGGCTACTGTTGTCCAGTAACTTTCCTAATTAACTTGCCCTATTAACCTAATAGTCAAGCCTTTAATTTGCCATTTAGCCTGAATACCAAAGTATCTTGCAAAATAACTAGTTTTTTGGTTTAATTTCATTTTATATTTTTATTTAATAAACAGTAAATATCAGAATTCTTAGCCCCCCCCACCCCCCCCCCCCCAAATTATTAGCCCCCCTGTTTATTTTTCCCCAATTTCTGTTTAACAGAGTTTTTTCAACACATTTCTAAACATAATAGTCTTAATAATTTATCTCTATTAACTGATTTATTTGATCTTTGCCATGATGACAATAAATAATATTTGACTAGATATTCTCCAAGACACTTCTATACAGCTTAAAGTGACATTTAAATGCTTAACTATGTTAATTAGCTTAACTAGGCAGGTTAGGGTAATTAGGCAGGTTACTGTATAATGATGGTTTGTTCTGTAGATTATCGAAAACAAATATAGCTTAAAGGGGCTAATAATTTTGTCCCTAAAATGGCTTTTAAAAAATTAAAAACTGCTTTCATTCTAGCCGAAATAAAACAAATAAGACTTTCTCCAGAAGAAAATATATTATCAGACATACTGCAAACATTTCCTGAATCTGTTAAACATCATTTGGGAAATATTAAAAAAAAATAATTTTAACTGTGTAACTTGACATAATATGAAACATTCTGTAAATGCAACAGCAAACAGAGACGCTATAATGGAGTGATCGTCTCATACAACTCCTCAGCTCAGAATATCAGTCTTTCTGCCCTCCTAAATTCCTAACATATCTTCAACTTCTGCCTTTTCTCTCCATCTTTTACGCTCCTCTTGTATGAAGCATCTCTGGAATGAACTCTCTGTTTTCTCTTCTTCAAAATCACACACACACATGCCATTGTCAACATATGAAAACACTCTTGGGTCACCGATGGCCCTTCAAAACAAGAACCATACGCACTGCATCCGGTCTGACTGACTCCAGATCTGCTCCAAAACCCCTTGTTCTGCCATATTGTCTACCACCAACTGTATATAGACAGTTGCTTCAATCAAATTTACTCCATAACAACTTCAAAAAAGTGTCTGCTAACCCTTCAGAAACGTCCTGCTTCAGTCTAGATATTGTAACATCTTCATCTTCATCCAATTCATCCTTTTTTTTTAGTGTAGAGGAGATTTGACCACCTTTAAAGAATGAACTGAGTGGTATTTTGAGTTGAGACGACAGAGACTTGCATTACATGTTGTTAAAAGGCTTGTAATATGTCCATTTTAGGAGGAAAACTAACACCAGAGAAAGCACGCATCGCTGTATCTTCCAGAAGCGAGACTGGAAACTCGATGGGAGTTGGGGAAAGCCACTATTTATTCTGTTTATTCAGGCTTTCCTAGGCGACTGGCGCTCATATAAAGCACTCATGGATGACACATGGAGCTCCAGAGATGGGAATGTCCAGATGTTTTTCATAAGCGGAGCGTCACACTCGTATTTTCACTCTGTGAGTTTAGGTGCACATCAATGACATTCCTGTCCATAAATCATCACGGAGGAACTCTAGGTTCAGCATAGTTCAGCAATTACCCACGTCGCCCTGCATGTTCCCATCAGTCTTAAATCACCTCCGATTCCCAGCAATCCTGAGAAAATGAAGGGAATAAATGGAGAACGGGACACTTCAGAGTCCTGATCAGTCTCACATTTCTCTGAAGATATGTACATGTTCCTCTTTAGCACAAAAGCCCTCTTATAGATATTAATATAAGTTATAATACAGTGTGTGTGTATGTATATGTATCTTGATAAATATACATACATGAATATGATAACAGACTGGATATTTTTCAAGACATTAGTATTCAACTTAAAGTGACATTTAAAGGCTTAATTAGGGTATTAGACAAGACATTTATGTTTTAAAATAAGCTTATCTTGCTTACCATAGCTGCATTTATTTAATAAAAAATACAGAACAAATTGTAAAATTGTGAAATGTTACTGCACTTTTAAAATGGTTGTTCAAAAGTAGTTTATAATTTAAATGATAATTTATTACAGTGATTTTACTCCAGTCTTCAGTCACAGGATCCTTCAGAAATCACTCTAATATGAATTATTATTATTAAAATTATTATTATTACTATAGTAATAAAAGCAGTAATGACTGTAATAATAATTTCATTTGAAAATCCATACAATAAGAAAGAAGTTATTTAAATAAATATTTTAATAAACTTAACTTTTTTACATGTAATAAATGCCGCCTTGATGAACAGAATAATTTTCTTAAAAAAAAAAAAATAACGTGAAAAAAATAACTGACCCCAAATTTTTGACTGGTAGTGTATGCGTGTATAAATGTATTTTACATGTATGTTTATTCATTTTAATATTATAATACTTTATATTTAATACATGATCATTGTATTTAAAAATATATATTTTTTTGAAGATTTAACACATTTTTAAAAAAAATTTAAAATTACATATACATACATATATATATATATATATATATATATATATATATATATATATATATATATATATATATATATATATACTGATAATTGTTAGATTTCATATTTTGTGTAGATGTATAAATACATACAAATAAAAATATGATTGTTGTTTTATTGTGCTACCAATTTTTTTTTTTTATTAAATTTTTTTTTATATTTTACTGTTACTGTTGTCAATTCAAAATTACCATTCCATATACTACATGATATAATATTACAATGTTCAACATTTAAGGACACCCCTCACAAATCTCTTATTTAAATGAATGTTTTATAAAAGAAAATTTACAATATCATATTTGTGCATATACATGAGATTAGTCAGTACTGAAGCCAAACCTGGAGCTCATCTAACAAAACAAGTTACGATAATGGTCCAAAATTAGTAAGCACAAATTTATATGATAGAAAAAAATATTAAATAACATATTTTAAAAAGAAAGCAAAACTCAAGAGAAACAAAAAATAGATACAATTTTGTAAAAAATTAGTAGTTTTGTAATTTTTTTCTCAATATTTCGCATAAAATTAAATGTATTACCTTTCTATTTCTAAAGATGTTCAGTGACTAAAATGTTATTTTAATAAATATATACATTTGATAAATCTGTTTTGTTCAAATGGACCAAAATATATGATCTATATTTACTGAGAAATGGATAAAAATGTTCATTCAAAATGGATTGTTCTCAAATATGTTGAGCACTCTAAATATACAAATCCCTTCAGATATATCTAAATAAAATGCTTTATTGTTTTTGTCTAAAATATGTAAGAAATCTATCCCAAATCATGTTAGCTGCCACCTGGAGCTGCTGATGTAAAGCGTGTTGAATGTGGCGTAGTGTGAGGTGTGAGCTCTGACCTCTAGGTAAACACTCCGGTGACTCTTTCCCCAGATTCTCTTACAGCCTGACTGTGTGTGCGTGACTGAGACCGGATCGAATCTGAACCTGAGACCAGCATAATTGCTCAGGAGCCTCTTTTTTTTGTCCTTTGAGAATAAGTGCTGAAAAAGCAGCATGACGTCAAAGTGTGTTCTCTCCAACCTCGTTTTTCTCTATATGTGGCGTTTAGGCTAAAACTGTCCGAGCAAACCCAGTCATGTTTGACTAGTAAACAAAGCTGGAAAAAGGACAAGACAGTCTAGGGTTTGGCATCTCCCGATGATCTGCATTTAGTACAATGACATTTAAGTGCTTCTTTTTACTATGATAATTACTTAAAAAATCAATTACAGGACAGTCCTGAAAACATTTTTGACATAAAAAAACATAAAAAATTAGGCAAAAATGCAAATATATTTGATGTCAGCTGATTATCAAAATGACATCAAACTGACATCTAACATTAGCATCAAAAACATATCAAAAATCGTTTTACAGGACAGTCCTAAAATAATTAATTGACATGTTTTTGACCTCAACTTGACGTTGTTTTGACATCAAGGTAGTTTACAGTGATTGTAGATAACAAAATATTTTTTTTTTAGAATTGAAGCTTTCATATAAATAAAACTTTTACTATATTTAATTTTTTTGCATATAAAATTTGGTGGTCA